AAACGTCCTTCATTTSCAGACGTTTTGTGAATGAAATGCATTAATGCAATCTAACTGACACTTGGACTTGGTGAACCCAAACTAGATATACACCCGTCACTTATAAATAATACTAAATACTTACCAATGTAAAATAGCTTGAYCAAAAAGTACAAATTGGTACAGATTGAAGCTATGATTTCTGCKGAAAAAGTGCAAACTCTACTACATACTCCAGAGGCAGTTTATCGTGATATCTTCAAAATTCAACAAAATGTCAAACTTGTGGCCAACTGAAAGCCACAAACAATAATTGAAAACGAGTTTYCTTTTGAGKGCGCATGTGTTGCCTTCCCTGGTTTTCATTCGAGCGTATTTTTTAGGAATATTGATAAATTAGTTYGATTARACCGAGAGTAAGCATTTCGAATGTATTTTCGCGTAMTGTCTCAGTCATCTTGATACAATGACTGTCATCTATTAAAGAACAGATAAAGCATTATTAAAGAATAGRTAAAGCATGTAATATACTTAACGACCTTTAGTTCCACTGAAAAGATTTTTCAAAACGAAAATTACTACCTATGTAGCTTGTGGTAATCTATTATAAACAAAAGAAAACGTTAATTTACCTCTATTAGATTGAGGACTTCATAGACAATAGAAAATCAATCTACCCCTTGCATTTTTTTTGTCTTGTCTGCACGTAATTGCAGTTTATTGCGACCTTTTTAGTTCACTTTGCCTATGTAGCAAGTTCTCSTACAATACGAATTGCATTCTCCAAAATTCTCATTTCCTTTATCAACACAAAAGGCTGTTTCATATTGTTGCCGTATTAGACTTGGACTACGAAAAACATCAACGAGGTATATAAGCTTGTGGTCCGACAAAAAAACTATTAAAATGCTAAAACTATATTGTACAAACATAGTTACAATAACAAAATATTTAATGAATTGTGTTTTAAAGCTTAAAAGTTTTGTTACACAAGTTCTTCATCAGGAGTGCAATTTAAATCAGTTTTCTTGTTAAGATATTAAGTGACTGCATTTGTTAATTTTCAGAACACGATTTTTCATTCGGAATATTCGGTACGAATAGCTATAAGCTATGCATCACAAACGCAATGGTGTGTTTGTGATTGCTATTGTTGTTGAAAAGAATCATTACAAATACAAATCTGCAATGGTATAGGATATATCACATGTTTTTCTTTACAATAGATTAAAAGCTTTCTTTCTTCTTATTTATTGAAATTTGTGAATCATGTTTTGCATTATATCATAATTTTTGCTTGGCCGATAAAAATAATAGTATTTCTCGATAAGATATTAGATGTTATGCCAGTATCTTATCTTTCAATGCTCCAATTAATTGTGTTTTGTTTCATTGTGTCAAACACAGACAAAGTTGTAAAGAAATTGGCCAGCATCGTGTAGCCTAAAAGCGATTAAGAGCTAATTGAAGGGCGTGGTCATACTCCTTTAAATGTTGCTTACAGTAATTACTGTTGACCACAAATCTAATTATGAAGCGTCCAGCTTTTGAACTAAATTTTCTCTTTCTGAGAGAGATAGTCAAATGTTTTAAKAAAAACGAGTTAACTCAGTTGTAAAAAGTTGACTAGCGTCACTAGCGATGCAAAGTATTACCATGTCGACTGTACGACCCACTTAGATGATTGATGTTGAATTTTTTCGAAAGGAAACATTTATAGTCGAGAATTGAGAATGGTCGCAATTTAGATACCCAAGAAAGTTTCCTGCATGCAAGCCAATGTCATAAATCATGACAGGTGAAAGTGCTGCAACATGTGAAATAACATGCATAAGAGGAAGTAAAATATACCACAGTGGTGYACAAATAACAAAACACTAACAGTGGTAATGGACAGACGTTAAAACAGTCGAAATGCAATTAAAACGTTGTACAAGCACGAGTCAAGATTAAGTAAAATGTACCTCAGTGCTGTACAAAATAAGAAAGYTAACAGAGATCATGTGGACAAACGTCAAAACAGTGGTTTCTCGGTGTAAATCTTTGTACTCCAGTTCATAAGGGAAAGCATGAAAATTAATCTCGCCGTCGGCGTCGTAGTTGGCTTATAAAGGTCACAACATACTCAACACCTCGTGCTTTCTTTTCAGTATAAACGACGAAAAACGAAACCTTGTCTAAACCGCGCATTGAATCTAWCGTCAGTCAAAAACTAATCAAAGTCGGCGCTTTTTAGATCAGTTTTCTTTGAGACTAGTGACGACCCGATTAGGCTTGCATTTCATAGCAGAGAAACAAATCGCATTAAAACTTCAAGTGTATCTTTTCTATGAATGCAGTACGAGAAAACTCACTGAAAGTCTGATGGATGATAAGTCACTTGATATTCAGTCCACTCGTTGCTTGTTGATAACAGAGCACGTTTTTTTGATAAAATGYCATTTATCTTTCTCGTGTTAATTGGAAGACCTATCAAAAATGAACAACGTTACTTAGCCTCAACGGGGCAGTCTTTTGTTTATATGGAAGTGTATAAAATAATGCATTTCTTTTGTCTGGTCATGTTGAGGAATCAAAGTACATAAGTGACGCTTGTATCGTGGAGATATAGTACATATCAACAGCAGAAAGTTGAACAATGATAACTTTCTACTTTTAAATATGATCTTCGTCTTTTATAGTAGCTCATGTATTTTGAATGTCTTGAAAATGTCTACGTATTTTTATCARAAATGTGTACATTATGTACTTCTTAATATAAACATAAATTTGTTGTACACTGATAGAAAAACGGTACAATCGATTATACCTGATCTGAGTTTTTATCTTTCGATAATAGAGGTTAATTTGTGGGATCAAGTCGACTTTGTTTTTATTTGTTTGATCCATTTATTGTACATTAAGTATCAATTGAATAGAGTTTACACCAGCAAATACTTATCTTTTAAGAAATCTGAAGTTTCTCAATGAAACCTATTTTTGAACAAAACAAATTTCTTATTTCAGATCAAAACAATTATTTTCAACTTCACTTAGATCATTGCTTACTTTATTCAGATTATGGTAAAGACTGCTTTTAATTTTCTTTTTGGGTCTACCTTTTCCATGCAATCACAGATTACCATTATTAATCAAATCCATCGTTACTGCATTTAGCCGGGTCCTTAATTGGGATTCCTGTCTCTTATTAAATTATCATAGTACAAACTTTATTATTTCCTTTATCATATTGGTTTTATTTTGATTATTGCATTTATCATATATACTAAATCTTGTTTAGAAGCCAAGAAGCGTCTAAATATTGATCAGGAAAAATTGTCCAAAATAAAACTACGTAATGCACTATACGAACAAAGACCATTGCATGAGCATATATCAGTTTGACTCATTCAATTGAGAGAGTTCTGTGTAAATTTCCTAAACGCTTTTTTTTTTCTATTACTCAAATAAACTAGAATAGCAGCAGGCCTTTATCATAACAATCAGCATTCCTTTTACAAACAACATYAATTTGAAAGCAAAATCAGCTTTGGTCATCCGAGCTATTAATGCTAATAGTAACGCCCTGAACTAATTTCAGTCGTCTCGGCTTAAACCCAGCACTGATTATCCCACGTGTTAGCAGCAAATTCGACATTATTCAGATGTTAATTTGAGCAAAATTAGATTAAACGTTAATTTTCAATTTCAGCAATGAATATAATTGATTGACGCGGCTTCGTCAATTTGCACAATGAAAAAAGGCACCAATTTTACAACGATAGAGCTGCAGTTGCACCTTAGTTTCCCTCAAGAATTGTACAGTTTTTGTACATCGTGTGCTTAATATTTTAGCTATTTTCATAGACTCGAAAGTCTTTAACTAGAAATAAGCATTCTTTCATGCGAGCAATAAGTTACCCGCAGAAAAAATATTTGCTTTAGTGCAAACAGTAATTTCGTTTTGATTTTATTGGAATGTTTACTTCAGAATGAAATTATAGTCGAGTTACGATGCAAACGTATAACCAAAGCTCACTATCAGGAAAGTCTGGGTATCTGGGTTGGGGGGCTGACACATGGATTTCCTTACTAAGCCTTGATTATTGCGTTCTTTGGGTGGGCGAACCAAGCTTTTCAAATTGGATMTGTTGACTTTTGCAGCAGATGTGCTAGGCTTCCTTTAATTCATCTTGTCATTGTTGCCGGCCGTAGATACGTCATGTTAGTTGGGTAATTTTGGGCTAGTAATTGGACGATTTTTGTGTAAATACAGCTGGTAATAGAAGTTAAATTGCTGGTTATTCTGTGCAAAATGAGTAAAGATGATGCCCAAAGGCAGTTTCAAACTTACAGATCATGGCGTTTTTTTATGGAAAACAATCAGTTTTAAATTCAGGATGTCATTTGTGACTCTGGGGGCAGAATATACTATACAAACAATAGAAAGTGACATCCAGATTTAACAATAATKACACAACATGCACTAAGCTAGTGTTAGGGTTTCGCTGCCAATGCATGTTGAATTTTATGGCCGCAGACAATGCTGTCTATTGATCGCAGGTGTAGGGGGGATCTTGTCAAATGTTTCTTGATTGCTAGGATATTTCTCAGAGTTGTTCGTCAAGAATTCACTAATGTCGCCCGTCAATTTTGCAACATTTGTAGACAGTACTTCGCGACTCTTCTTGACACTATCGCTCTCCTGTTGAGGAGTGAAATGGTTTCGCACAAGACTGTTTAGTGTGCCGTTGAAAGGGTACTCTTCAATTCAAAATTTCACAATTTCATCTCAAGGATGCGCTAGGAATCACCATAAAGAACTACTAAGAAGGTAACTTTGATGCAATTCCAACACCGACGAGGTTTCAATATCGCTACACAATTGAACGCTTTACGTTGTGTTTGCTCAGGCCACAGACACCCTATTTAGCTTTAAAAATCCAATGACCAATTGGAGAAGCTAAAGTCAACACGTTAGGCCGATTCAGTTTCATGCTAATCAAAGACTAATTGAACCATACCTGACGTGATGTTTCTGTGACAAGCACACTAAAAGCTGTTTTGTTTTGTCATGCCTTGGGCAGCAGCATTAACGTGATGAAACGGTCAGCGGTCACTTTGCCGTACAAAGAAAGACTAATAAAACCCATCCGAAACACAAATTTCATCAGTTTGGTGCATAGCCATCGTTGAGCAAGATAACAGTACAAGGCACTTCCTTTGTCTTAGAGCAGAAAGTCGCCAAAATGCTCCCGTGTCCGTTCTCAATGGAACAAGTGATTTCAGTTTGTGAATTCCTCCAGAATAGCGGCGAAAACGAACGTTTGGCACGATTTCTTTGGTCCTTGCCAAAAGACTCGGAAGAAATCCAGCAGTGTGAGACAATCCTTGTTGCAAGAGCAGTTGTGTCCTTCCACCAAAATAACTTCAAAGAACTTTACAGCATTTTAGAGAGCCATAAGTTTTCAAGGCCTGTCCACGAGAAATTGCAATGCTTATGGAGAACTGCGCACTACATTGAAGCAGAGAGACAGCGTGGAAGACCATTGGGGGCAGTCGGGAAGTACCGTGTACGCAGAAAGTTCCCCCTCCCAAGGACAATCTGGGACGGAGAAGAAACAACCTACTGCTTCAAAGAAAAGTCCCGCAGTATTCTGAATAAAGCTTACACCGAAAACCCGTACCCTACCCCTAGGGAAAAGTACGAATTAGCTAAAATGACCGATTTGACTGTGACGCAGGTCAGTAACTGGTTTAAGAACAAGCGACAGCGAGTRCGAGCAGCAGAAATGAGAAAGAGGTATGTACAAACTGATCAAGAAGTGTATCAACTTAGTTGAAACTTTATTTGTGTATTTGAGCCCGCTTTTCGTCTTACTCAAACAAACCGCATATATTTTGTACATCCAAAAATGGTCTATTAGCAAGATTCACAYATGTTCAAGAAGTTTTGATGGAAAAGACATACAACAACCATGTTTTTGTGAGTTTTTTGAGAGATTTGCGGTTGTTTTTTCATTGTTGAATTTAAATCACAGGTTTTATGTTTTCAAGTGATACTTCAAAGGTTAAACATTCACTGATTATTTCAACAACGTTTCGCGTTAAACATCAAACTTAAAGAAAATGTGTTTTGATAACCAACTCGCTGAATAAGAGTGCCGTTTGCTGCAATTTTCAATTAGCTTGAAAACGCGAATACTTGATGAGCCTAGTTAAGTTTGCTTTCAACAACCATGCTGCCGTTTGGTTAGCATTGTTCATTCTAAACCGCAGCGAAAAAAATTTCGCTAAAAGCCAATTTAGATAACGTTGAAGCATGTAGTTTGAGTTTCATTTCAAAAACACCTCCCGAATTCCAGTTGAAAGTGATTCCTACCAAGATAGACCAATTGCAAATCCGAGAAATAGTTCTAAGTGATAAGATGTGTTAAACCTTAAGGTTGCCTGGCTACCTATCATTGGGTTCAGTCATTAAGATGTTGCTAGTATATTTAATATGCAATGACCAAGCACTTGAACATTTCAATCGAGGCTTGTGCAGCTGAAAACACTCTGTCGGTAATCCAAAACCAGTGCATACGTTATCTTAATGAGATATTAATTGGAATACTAGATGAGAAAATAGATTGGCTTATATACTAATCAAATCCTTCTTACAGTCAAATTAACGATTTAGGCCGACTTTTGGTTAAATAAGTATTGCACTAATAAGTAAGCCTTGATACTCTTACAGTATGTGCGAAATTGGTTTACAAATTGACAACAAAATAGTTACCTTAGAGTTTCGTTATACAGATCTATCTATAAACAACATATTAGACCTTATCTCGTTTTCCAATATATCGTGAGCAATCTGAGAAAGCTTACTAAGAAACTTAGTTAAGATATCTTTTCAATATTACTTTGGTCGCAAGTGCCATTGAGGAAATGTTAAACTTGCTGACATTGATTTGAACGTCTTGGAATTATCATATGTTGAAAAGAAATTTTTTACAATGAAAAATGAAATGAACAAGAGACCATAAGTGTTTTTCAGGCAGCCAAGCAAAACGAATATCTGCAGCCAGTTTTAGCTGAGAGATTGTAATTCTCAAACCGTTCGACTGCAAATAAGTTGTGTTTATGATAGACTTTATACACCGAAAGCATGGAGTATTAAAAAACTCATTCTGGAAGATGAAGATATGCATTTCGCAAAATGAGATCTCGCGTGGAAAACAACTATAGAAAAAAAAAAACAAGAAAAAATCGTGTGGAAAGAAAGAATAAGAAAAAGGTAAAAGATACTAAAAGAAAGAAAGATGAAAATAGAACTAAAAAAGGAACGACAAAAAATAGRACAATAATTCGTGTAATCTGTGTTCTCTTTCGATTGCCTTTTTGCCTAGCATTTAATTTTTTTCAAAGAAGTCAATTTAGGCCTGTTTAAACTTTTCACGATATTTTTGGATTATCGACCCCTTGCGGTGTTTACCATTTCTTTCTTTACCATGTCATCTTTAATAGGTGAGAAGATCGTGTGGTGAAAAGAATGCAATAAATTCATTGCTTTAAATCAATACATTAATATAAACGCACAAGAAGGCGATTTTTTTCGGAGAAGACATCTCAAAGATAGCAGCTCAATTAGAGAAATGAGGATTGCATTAACGATGTATGTTGTTCTTTTTGCGTTCAAAGTCACTTGGGATTTTAGCGGTTAAATTTGTGAAATCAGTACAGTCTTCAAAAGGTAATTAGCTTACAAACGTGTGCTTCTATGGTTACCCAAAACATATCCATGAATGCAGAATTTAAAGATTGTTAATTCAATCCAAGAGGACCCCCGTGTTTTGCAATAATCAATTAAGAATTGAAGCTTAAGATAAAAACACATTAAACTGTAAACGGCTTAATCCCTTTAGACTTCAAGAGATAGCGTAACGTGATTTCCGTGTTTGTGATAGCCTTCGTCTCAGTTTTATCGCTAAAAGGATCGATCAAATTTCATAACGGCCTTCTTGGCTGAGTAAATCATCCTGAAACCAAGACAGTCAGCTATTTGACAACAAGTCAATAGATAGYTCTTGTTGTCAGTTATAAGCACATGGACAAAATCTTTCATGTTTACCTTGCGTTCAAACTCTGACTTTTGTTGATACACCTGAATCAAACCGAATATTATGTACCCCCAAAGCAGGCAGCAAACCCAGCAATGATTCTTATGATTCTTAGATAAGCCTCGGTAAATGCTGTATATAATAAAGAAAGTTGTTTGGCAACAATAAGAGGTGTTTGCTGCGAAATCCTCATTTGACAAAATTTGSTAATGTGTAGATTGCAAAATGATTAAGTTTGCTCGACATACTTCAAGTACAAATAACCATAAGACTAGATAAAAAAAGCTTGAAATGGTCAACATAAAATATGTATTTGCTGGTTACTCAACATATCCAAWTAATTTGTCGATCAACGATTGCTGGCACTTGTTGTAGTGACTCCTTTACTTTGGTAGGGGTGGTATATACACCTTTTGGGGTTCTAAACTCACACAATCATTTTAGGGACAATTATCAATTGTTTGCGCTTGATAAAAACAGCGGTCATTACACAGCTCATTGAAAAACAGTCTTTACTTACAAAATGATTAGATGATGCAGCAAATATTTCAATGATTAACTGTATGACATCATCCTTAAAGATCTCATTTCATGCAGCGCTTAAAATGAGTGTGTTGTATCGCTATATACCTTGTACAAACCAATAGAATCACTTTGAATGAAATGAAGAAAGAACTTTAATTGACTTTTCATGAAAAATCTCATTTCTTTAGACGTTCTCTCTTTGAAACGTGTGGGATTAATCAATTTGGACTAAATTCAAACCCAATGTGTTTGTCAATAAAGGCGGGCGCGTTAAGAATAAGCAAACAATTTCTAAAGAAACGAACAAKACCACAGTTTATGTTCAATAATAGTCTCGAATAGCATTAGYATAATTGTACAAACTCTGCAAACTGATTAGATCATTTGTCTTTTCAGAGGTCTGGACCAAGAGCTGTGTCTGATGAAAATAAAAGATACAAGCAGATCCATGATGCACAGCTATGATGAGCTGAGAACTCATTTTCCATTCCTCATACCGCAACAAACAGCCATCCAATCACAGCCATCCACCATGTCTGCGGCATGTCATCCASAGTATGCGCACTCCCATGCATTGTCTCAGTATCAGGTCCCGTATGCAACTTATCCGGCATACGTTTCGGCACATCCCGTATGTGGTTTGTCATCATACGTGTCTTGTGTGGGTTCCACGATAACAAGCCCAACAAGACTTACAAATAGTCCTCACACAGCTGTTAACATGAGTTCCAACACAAGCGCTTTTCAGCCCGTAGCTCATTCAAGCCTGGATCGCACCGAAGATGAACTGACTTTACACAGATATGCTTATGATCATTAGCAGTTTTGATTTTGTTTGATTATTATCAATCATGGTATTCACGTGGTAGTATTCACTCAATGTAGTTTAATTTTCTWTGTATAACTTAGGGAAAGGTGTGACTAAATTACAGAGTTTATTGTAGCACTCGTTTTTGTTCTAATTTTCCGGCTATGCGAGTTGAGTGATTGAGCTTCAGTCACTTAAAATGATTTATTCTTCTTTTCTAGACAAGAAATTTTTTGCATAAATACTGAAATCGGTTTGTATTATAGGCTAAGGCTGTTAAAAAGAGAAGAATGAAAACGCATGGCGATTGAAAAAAAAATATATCAAAATATCTTTTGAACTGATACGGTCACAATTTTAAAATATTGAGACAAAAAGGTGCTCGTTTTCACCGTAGAAATATAGGAATAGCATGAAAACAGATCCTTTGTCATAATGGCTGCCGCTTTATATGACCATGCTTGTTTTCAAATTTTCATTATTTCCATGAATGATGATAATAGCATAAAAAATAAAATTCGTACGACTTGACAAACGATCGACGTCTTATCTGGACCTGAGTCATCTTAAAGGGCAACTTCGATGAAAATTGCAAAACATTGAAGCCTTGTGGACTTCAAAAATCTTTGTGGGTCTAATAATCATGTAGAAACATTATTTAATAAGATATCGATAGGAATTCTTAAGAATTTTGGCAAAACATTGTTCTTTTGAGCGAAAATATCTCAAGTAGGGACTACTCGAAAACAAAGCCCTGAAAAGGCTTTATAGGTATAAATGATTCATAAATTCGCCAAATATTTGAATAACTCGAGTTTTGAAATTAAGGCGTTTTCGTACCAAAGGACTATTCATATGACATCAAGGCTAAAAGTCTTGTGTATAGGTATTTAATTCATGAATGGTAAATAAAAAAAGGTTTGTAGCGCAGTAGAAGCTAGTAGACTAACCTGAAAATCTGGACTGTTTTCTTTATGAGGTTACTTATGATGTGCACTGAGATTTTCCTGCCCACTCGCTATCCCTTTGACTTTCACTTTATTTAGAAATTCGTAGAATTTTTCGGTTTACATAATTTGAAATTGATTGATATATATGTATTTACGTAATTTACCTTTTTTGGATTAACTTTTTTTGAATAGGTAGAGGTATTAAGAAAACAAAAGTAATGAGATGTGTGTTGCATTTGACTTGGCTGCCACCATTTCTAATATGTATTTACTAGTAAAATCTCTGAGACTGAGTGTAAAAGTTATAACGGACATTTATGTTAAGGCCCACATGATGTTATCTTTCCTCGATGAATTTCCACCAAACTTTAGTAATCGTTAGGCACTACATCTAATATTGTCCCTGAGATATCGCGGAAAAAATAGGCTTAATTCGTTTGAAATATCTTAGTGTAAAAGCATTTTCCTKGATTTCCCCATAAAACGCATACATTTAAATCCGCTTTTTACAAACTTTACTTAATATGAATTTGAATTCCTTGTTAATCATGTAGTAAAATATTATTAAGATTTGACCAACTTAAATTACTTTTTTACCCGTTTCTTTCGTCCCGGTCGTAGTTCTAAACAACTGTATCCAGATACCTTAAACTATACATAGAAGAGTGATAAAGATTAAGGCCGTGTCACACTGGCGTTTTTTTTCGTGCAGCTTGTGTCGCGCAAAAAAATGTTGAAGTTGCACGAGCGTTTTTTTACGTGTGACATCCCCTCATGCAACTTGAACATTTCATTTTTTTGTTGAGAGAAAAGTAGAACTGGCTTCTACTTTTTTCAACATTTTTCGGAAAAACGCGTGTGTGACATGGCCTCTTGCAACCCATAATAAAGCGAGAATCTGTCCTGTTGTCACTTGTTGTAATAATCAACAAAGATGCCCGATGCCATCTTTGGCGAAAGCGATAATTTTGAAGAAGAAAACGAGACAGAAAGTGAGATGATCGTACATTTTCAATTTACGCGTGCAACTTGAACATTTTTTTGTGCGAGCTAAGTTGCAACGGAATTTTGCTAGTGTGACATGGCATCGTGCAACTTCAACATTTTTTTGCGCGACACAAGTTGCACGAAAAAAACGCCAGTGTGACACGGCCTTTATCTTTTGTTTGTTGTTTTGCTTTTTGTTTCTTTGTTGTTTTTGTTTTGTTTTGTTTATTTGWCTTGTTTTTACCTCAGCGTCGGCTCTGGTATTGGCCTTTTGTCCATAAAATTCTCCTCTATGTAGCTCCGTTTGCAGTTGAATTATTTTGTTTTGCTTCAGTCAACTTTTAAGACAGACGTTTATTGRACACTATTTACCCTAAAGGCCGATTTAGACGACACAACTTTTCCYTACAACTATCWCATGCGACCTGCGTAAGTCATCCTTACGACATGGCTACAACTGTCGTAGGGATTTTTAAAAATTGCTTAATAGCCTCACGACAGTTGTAGCCATGTCGTAAGGATGGCTTACGCAGGTTGCAYGCGATGCTTGTAAGCAAATGTTGTGTCGTCTYAATCGGCCTTAACGGTCCTTATCATCAAAAGTGTTTCATAATTTGAACAGTCTAAGTAAACACAAGCCTATATTTTGATTTTCTAAGATACCTTTGCAAGAAAATGATCTAAACTTGATCTCTTGACACCCTAGTAAAAGGGGGTGGAGGTACYCGTCGGAAATTCTGAGAATGTGGGCATTGATGACATTTTACACTAAAAGGTACAAGTTAATAAACTTTGACACTACCCGGGGGAGGACTACCTTATAAAAAAGGGCGGGGGTCCTCGTCGGAAATTCTGAAAATGACCCCTAAAAGGGACCTGTATTGTGAGATGATGGGCGTGGCAGCGCTGAAATTTCAACCCTAACCATCAAACTACGCCTCTTTAAGGAGTTTACGAGATCTCATTAGGGTCGTYTTGTACCTTAAAACTGGACGGAAAAAGAAGTTGATGGGAATTCTTGTCGAACATTATCACCTTGCGCGGAACCAAAACAGAAACCCTAAAAKTTCCGACGAGGACCCACTTTTCTAAGGTATAGACTTTCTATTCAAGAAGTTTTTTAAAGAATGCTTTTCAGGTTTGCGTGTACCATCTTGAAAGTTAATCGTGTTTTGTCGTCGAAGCGAGACAACCGTTTGGCGTTCTTAGATATTACGCYTAGAAAGCTCACCAGCTCGTCTCACTACTTTGATTGACAAGCAAGAGAATTTCCTAACGAAATTCGTTTAATATGCATTGTTATTTTAATTTTTCTCTCCTCTTCGTTTTAGRGAAAGAAAACAAGAAATTTATGTCGAACATTCGATGTTAATACCATGAGGCTATCAAAAAAATGACGCTATCCATCCTGCCTTATAAACTTGCTCATCCGTACCGTTACAGTAAGTAACTTCCCTCTCATACGAAAACGACTGTTGTTTTTTTCATTTTTTTTTTTATTTAACGAATGCGTTTTCTTTATTAAATATCAACAGGGCCTAAAATAGTGATCAAGGGAGGAATAGTTGATATGTAAAATGATCGAACCATCTTCGCCCGTCCAAGCGGGTTWGCAAACAGCAAACGACAACCAACGATGTGTAAAAGTCAGCTAACCCCGTAGCAATGTCGTAAAACCGCTTTAGAGGTAGGTTTAATTTGATTTCAACTTCAGTTATGCGTTAGATCAAAAGCAGGAAAACCATGATGCATGAAATAAAAGCAAACTAAATACCAACAAATAGCGGCTATTCATAGTTCCGACAAATCAAACGCGTCATTCGCGCGCGCGGGATTGGCCAATCAGAATAGAGGACACGTAATGGCTTTCTTCTGATCGGCTAATCGCACGCTCGCGCTTGATTTGTCGGAACCATGAATTTAGAGACAGTTTTAGTAATAAACCAAAACTTTTTTTTCATTTAAAAACTTGTTCATGTTGTTACCAGTTGCCATATGACATCAAAGTTTGCCCAATGGCGAATTTTGGATACGCCCATTCGTTGGTGAGAAGTCACTATTAGAGAGGTTTAGCATAACGTTCACGKCAAACGGCAGAAAAGATCACGTRATCTCCTTTTTTTGAGTTTAACGTTGCAGTTTCAACGCGAGAGCGGGTTAGTTTGAGGTTGCCATAATTGTGAAAAGCCGCTCTTTCAAATGACTACCAAAAGCACAAAAAAATTCTTAAGTCATTGGTTCAGCTCTGCTGTTAGCCGTTTGCCGTTAACGTGATGCTAAAACTCTCTACTGTGTAACCATTTACTTGTTCAGTTTCAGTCTATCATGGTTCACTGTTTAAAAAAATAACAGTTTTAGACAGTTAAGAAGTTATTTAGGCACTGCGCAATATTTATCCAGAAGAGGGGCAAWATCTAATTCTAATTTATGTGCGTAAATAGGGGGAGGGGTGCAACGTCTAAGATTAAACTAGAACTTAAAGAGAAACTGAAAACTTAACGGCGTCAGATAATGTACTTTTGGCCAAATACTTTATAATTGAAGTGGAAATCGTCTCAAGAAAAGCGTGTCACGATTTGCGACAACTCTTTAYTCACGAATAATAAATAGATAAACTCACGGGGGCAGGGGGTTGAGAGGGGGGTAGTAATTAGCTTTTTTGATTTTTTGGCTCATTTCTCAACACCCTGTATTACAGAGTCGCATATTCTTGTAYTACGTACCCTTAAAACGCCTTATATCCACAGGTTCAACTTATGATTTTGATGGATGTTGGTAACAATATAGGTAAATTCATTGGGTGACTCGTGAATTCCGCGTTGAATTCACTTGTAAAGCCGATATCGCACTCATCGCAAAATTGAAACGATCGCTCGTGAGTTCAGTGCGAGAATTTCATTTTCAGTTTTTTTTTTGCCATTTTAGCTAAAGAAATATTACTTTCTAATAACTAAAGCAAAAAAAATTTTGTAGCACTCGAATGGCTTTTAAGTATTTTTACTGACAAGCTCAAAGCGGTTTTTCAGAGCGAGTTTGCAAATCATCGGCGGACGGCAAACTTGCTGACAGACCAGGCCCACAAATCCTAAGATTTTTACAGTTTTCCACTCTTATCTCGATTAGAAATATCATCTATGGAGAAAAGTCTTCGAAAGGTTTTTACTGAAAAATTGAAAACAAGTTTAAAGTCATATTTTGAGTCTTATTTGGACGAACGAAACTCGTTGAAGTCAGTAGTCCTGACTTGCCAAGCAGACTTCAAAACCTACTGCATGTTTACTTGTGAAAGAAAGCGTACTAGTAGACATTCTCAATCAAAAACTAAGTAGCTGGTAGATGAAGAACTCAAACACAGAAACATTTCATAAATTCATCCCATAACTTGTTCTGGCATGGAATATTCAAGAAAAAATGACAAGCGAAACAGCTTTAGTTTTCTGCAAGAAACGGAGAAGGCCGCTCAACTCCCCGCTCTTCATTGTTGTTTACGTAGATGAACTGAACCTGACAAACTTTAAAATGTATTACACTACCATACAGGTATTTAATAAATAGTATTTTAATAATTGTGACGTTAGGCGATTTGCATTATGGCGTCATTTACTRCAACTACCRGAATGCTTTGCCCACTTTCTTTTGTAATGCAATTAGTGCCAATTGTTTTACTAATCGCTAAGGGGATTAAAAATCTGAATAACAAAGAAAATGCGCAAGGCTTTCTGGTAGTTGTAGCAAGAGCCATGCAACCTTTCTGAATGTAGCAGAAAAAAGTTCAAACCTTTTGATTTTCTGAATTTCGTGTCGCGAGTCATCATTACTGTCTGACACAAGTTGAAACCCAGCCTCGCCGGCAAATCAACGGAATACTCTAGTTTCGAAATTTCAAATGCCCATTTTAGTCTCGTCTGTGTGCAAAATATTTCAAATTAATTTTATTGTCTTTCTTCACAAATTCCATGCATTTGCTCGGGCTATCAATGAAACAAAAAAATGCATGGCTTCGAGGCTAGCTCAGTGCAAACGAGAACTCGAAATAGGAATATTGGCAAATTTGTATTGTTAGAAGGAAGTGAAAAAAGAGCCTTAAAATTTACTTACGTGACCTAACTAACTAACTAGCCTAGGTACACAACAGAGCTGAACTTGAATGCAGGGTCCATCTTTTCTTTAGGCGACAAACTACAACCGTTGATGTGCGACCTATAGAGTCAATTTCGTATGAGTGGGAAACGGACGGTACTGTACTGTGACCGTAATCGTACTGTAACCAAATTCTAGTGCCCCATTGGTTCACCAAAATTGTGCAGGCCAGGTGCGGTAACTGTGCGGTAAACCGTGCGGTAACGGTGTCCCACTCATACGAAATCCGCTCTAAAGGTCAAAGTCTCGTTCCGAAAGTAAGGTTTGAGTAAACGTCAATCAAAGCAAATTTACAACACCAAAGACTTTTGAAAAGATTTACAGTTGCGGTAAATAATAATAATTGATAAAATAAAACTGTGATATAATATCATGTATTTATAGCGCAGCGCTCGTTACGTTCGCTCATGAGAGATCTTTTCAATGAGTTGAAGATAAATTTTCACGCGCCCATGTGTTATCCTTTATGTCTCGTATGAGTTTTTTTCATTTCATTTGTGTATTCATTTTCTTTTATATATATCTTTTAATCAGGATTTATCCCTGAAAACATTTTGTCATATAATTATCTATGAAATACCTCTATTTCTCCATTGCGTATAGTTGATATTTTCACTAGTGAAAATAACCTATTCGAGGTTTCGCTATAAAGTGGACTTAAGAAAAAAGATATTTTACGATTTAATTTGCTTTGATATGTAATTATATGACAAACAGAATATTTCATAGTCTCTACGCTCACTCGTGAGAGATCCTTTCAACACTCGAAGATAAAACCCGTATCTCCGCGCGCCCATGTAATATCCTCTATTTATCGTAGCATTTATTTGTACTTTGTACTCAAGTGCGAGTAATGAAATCTATTATTGTGTACCATTTCTCTTTGTTTTTCTTTATTTCAAATTTTGCATCACTTGAATTTTGTTTTCCTAAAATATTCAAAACCGGAAGCGGAAGTAAAACCTTCTTCAACTTGTGTTATGCCACGTGTCTTTAGTATTGTCTCCTGATAATCGAAGTATTTGCATAATAGCAAGTGTGYCGTTAAAAAAGAAAACTTGAACACAAGGTTTTTGCCAGCAGTCTTGTCGTAGTTTATCTTTGGTTTATGGTTTAGTTTGCTCGTAGCATCAACATGTTGCGGCTTACAATACTGTTGTTATTTGGTGTTTTTCACTGTTCCATGGCTCGCCATTTACAATTCCAATTGAGTGGATATGAGTGCTTTTATGAAGAAATCGAAGAAAAAGCTGAATGCTCGCTCGAATTTGCACCGATTACAGGCAATGATCCCAAGATAGATGTGACCCTAGAGGATCCTAATGGAGAAATACTTTACAAGGCCGACAAGAAAGACTATGACCTCCATAAATTCACCGCTAAAATCAACGGCACATACCGTGTGTGCTTCAGTAATGTCTTCGACTTTTCAATAGGAGAAAATCTTGTTTATTTTGACTTTGTTACCGGAAAAGATACCTCATTCGACACTGGYGCAGCGCCGACTGACAAAGCTCTTACACAGCTCGAAACTTCTCTTTCAACCATTCATGAAAACATGAACTTAGTGGAGCGATACCAAAACTACCACAGACTTCGTGAAGCCAATGGAAGACTAGCAGCTGATCATTTGAATCATAGAGTGCAGTGGTGGTCAATAGGACAGTCTGTAATTGTAGTAGCTGTTGGAATGACGCAGGTTTTTGTATTAAGAAGATTTTTTACGGTAGGAAAGCAAGACCTCTAGTGTGATTGAATCGCAAGGAAATTGTCTACTATATCATAAGCCTTTTGGATGTCTTTATATTAAATTGATTAAGTTTGATGAAAAATACATAGAAAGATTTACCATCAATATGAAGTCTAGTATCATTTTGTGGTTTTGGGRAATTTGTTTTTGCGTAGTTCAATGATGTCGTGTCGAAAGAAGCGTACGTGAAAATACTATTTATATCTTCCAAGTAAAGTTATTTGTCTTATTTAGTTTTTATTAAATTCATAAACTGTAATAAAGGTACAACTCTTATTCAGTTCGTATTCACGAAAATAAAATATTCACTTAGTCTCGTTTATCTGTATTAATCTGTATTGTATTTGTGGATGTAGTATAGTTTATAGTAACAGCATATAGTAACGTTTGTCACGCAAGGGATAGTAGTGAGAGACTGGKGAGGRAAAGCAGGTGGTCTTGCTTTATAAATGATAGGGGATTCAATGACAGAAATGGACCYTTTGGACAGAGGACGCGGTTAAATCATKTCACCTATAGTTAAAGTCACAGGTATTTCACGGCTCTATTAATATAATTTCAGTTTCATTGACACCTTACTTCTAAAGCGTTWAATACCAGTTAAACCATAGTTAGTAACTATGGTTAAACCAAGAAAGTGGAAGCCCTTGGTTCAGGCCTTTTTGAATGAAGTCTTTGAATGACGTTGGAAAGCTTATTCGTTAAGGTTTAGAGCCCAACAAGTGAATTTATAACTACTATAAAACTTTTCTCAGCACGGCTTTAGAAAACGGACCGGAAGCACAGGGAACCCGTGCACCTGCCATGGAATCAAAAAGATACTAGTAAGAGGAGGACAAAAATATGATTGTTAGGCTGCACTTTAAATTCAATGAAAATATAAAAATAAATTTGAGAAACTTCTGTCTATTTGAGGTGTAATTTATCGGCTCAGTTCCAGGCAAAATGTTTTGAAAAACGTTTCCCGCTCGACTTGTGAAAATAGGGACACCACGTTACACAATCAGGTCAACTATGTTGTTTCACATTTTATAGTCTTTAAAATGGTTTGCCCGTTTTTTAGTTAGCGCTTTATTTTTTTTTGCATCATGAGACGTCTTGTTGTGTATGTCGAAATAGGAACGAAGTAAAATATAAAAAGGCGGAGAACGATCCCTTTTTACAGATTAAGTAAGCAAGTGACAATAATTATCTGTGAGATTGTTATATAGCCTGCGTACTGCCGAAGAAAAAAGCAAAATACCCTGCGTATATATTCAGGCGTTCYTAGCCGCTCTGTAGAAAGAGTTTGGACCTGAGATGATTCGGCCCAAACTCCCTAGGAAAGGCTAGGAACGCCTGGATACACACGCTCACTTCAAAATGGCGTCCGATGCAAGCTTTTATACAGATATACTCCACTGCTTCAACGATTGAAATGGAGAAATTTGAGAGCTCGTCTTATTGTCCTCTTAGGGTTAGTCATTATTTGTGGGACGG